AAGTCACCATTAGGAAGTATTCGGATCCCATTCCATATATATATTATCACTCTACCGTATACATANCTAAGGGTGATAGTAAAAAGGTGCAATGACAAAATCTAGAGCGACTCTCGTTCAGTCATCTACAACAAGCAAACATTTTTTAAGCATTTTAACCAGAGGAAATGTGAAGTGAATTGGAGCACATAGCGCCAAGACTTAGATCATCAAAATGTACATTCTCATCACTTAGCGAATACAATAACTCTCACAAACACTGAATGGAAGTGCTTTCTCTAACACTCAAAGGTGAAAGGATACCACTACCAAGTCCCAATTTGATCAGTGATTGGCTTCCGACTTTATTAATAAAGTTGGCTTATTAATTGAATAAGCTCACGTCCACATATTTTTCTCAATGTTGCTTCTACATTTATCGATTTCACACATTGGTGATGAAGACGTAAGACGCGGAGGAAATGTATTTGCTGTCCAGAGAGACGCCAGTGTAGACACATGAACAGAATGCTCCTCCTAACTTCCAACCGAAGACCACAATCAGTAACCCCGTGACTTTTGCGCTTAGTCAATTGATGCTGTGACTCTGTCATTGTGGCTTCCAACTATACAGGAATAATGAAGGCTAACGACATGAAAGCGACGACAACAAACTACTATGTAACTCTATAGAGGAATGAGGTGTGACCCATCCTCCCCTTGGTCAATTAAGATAAACGTCTTCTTACGTTTCAGAAGGAAGGGAATATGCTCAACTTCGGGCTTTCTATAATCATTAGCAATGGCAAAAACAAAGTCACCATTAGGAAGTATTCGGATCCCATTCCATATATATATTATCACTCTACCGTATACATAGACAGAACCTGAACACTCATGAACCACCACCCGAAGAGTGGAAATTCTTCACCAAGTATTTTACTAACTATCCTTTAAAAAATACCAGCACGCTAATTTCACAACTGATTTAAAGGAGACAAAAATCCCCACAATCAGGCAAAAGCATTACAGAATAGACTTGATGTCCAGTCTTGAAGAAAGAGATTGCAATAATGATTTATTAGAACTGATTGATTATACATGGTTTGGCTTGAAGCAATTTCAGTTGCTTTCGATAAACTGACAAAGTATTTCTACAGTAAATGCAAAATAAATTCAACTATCTAGGTTCAAAGTTGGGGTCTTCATTTTATAGAATATATAGGTAATTTGNCAATATGCCTCAGCATTTCTTGCTTCTGAAATTTAAAATGGAAATTGTACACAACAAAAGTTCAAGAAAAAATATTGAATTTTTTTATAATATATCGTCTTCTGAATTATGAGTCGATACGAATAATGGTGATAAATATTAGTAAAATGAAATAAGGTGTTTGTTTAAATCTGTTCACAGAGAATAAGGTCGTGACAATTATTGGAGGCGCATATTTGTTCACTAATTTTGGCGTTATCAGTGCATTGTAGTATCTTAGTTTAAGAACACAAAACCGAACAAATGGAGGTAAGTATATTTAATTATATATTTTTCGCATAATATCAACGATTTTACTTTGCGCCTTAAAGTGTTTTAATATTTTATTAATATACTGAATTGGGTGTACACATATTCCCTTTTTTCAAGTTTGATTTTTCCTTAAACTTAGGCAAAAAATTCCATAAATCACAATTTCTCGAATCCTTCACAACGACACTCGATGGATTCGGGGAGAGCTTCTAACTTGATAGTTAACAGTGAGTTGCGTCCGCAATCAGAGAAGCCACGACAACGGAGTATGTCGATTGCTCTTAGCAGGCTTCGGAGTCCAGGTGATTTAAAAATCGTCCCTACGAACCATGAAGTGAAAGAAACTGAAACTTCTACAATGGTAACCAGGACAAACGGAGTTCAGACTCAAAATCAATCAGCCATTGAAACTCTTCAACCTATAATCGACATGATGAAAATCGCTCCATCGAATCATGGTGTGAATGAAACTGAAACTTCTACAATGGTTACCAAGATAAACGGGGTTCAGACTCAAAATCTATCAGGCATTGCATCACATCAACCCATGTTTTCCACGAGAAATATCGTATCAGCGAATCATGGTGGAAATGTAACTGGATCTGCTACAATGGTTACCAGTACAAACCGAGTTCAGACTCAAAATCAATTAGTCGTTGAATCGCCT